CTTGGTTTTGGTGAGTTAGTTTGGCCATTTCTGTATCATTAGAATTGTCCTTTTGATTCAAAAATGAGAAATTAGACTTTTTGACTCAAATAAAGTTTACTTTAAGACTGAATTGTTAATATTGTTCATAGATATTTACAAAAGTCTGTCCTAAAATGCATTCGTAATGAGTGGAGAAGATATATTAACTTTGTATACTTCATTTGATCGTGAAGCAGTCTATGGTATTTTACAGCAAAATTGCATGTATACCAGTAGAAAGGCAAACAAAATGCATGTAATTAAGTTTGTTGAATATACTTAAAACCAACAGGCTTTCAATACAAGCAGAATAACAGCTGGAACTGTTATTCTGCTTGTGGATCAGTTGTGGTTTTCCTACTGGCTGAGTTGGCATTCACCAAGTGAAAAGCCCACAGTGCTGTGTGGTGTGACTGCTCCATTCAATCAGTGGCACTGACTTAGTAAGAGGAGAAATTCCCTTCTGTTCAAAGCAGAATATTGGTCCTCGTGTACTAACCACCAGGCCCAGTTCATTTTAACTCTGCTCTGGAGCACAGTTCAGTTCAGCAGATATGAGCAGGCCAGGAACATAACTGTCTGCTATTAAAAACCCCATTAATGCCGGCATTTAGGTGACTGTCAGCAGGGCATTTAGATTAAAGAAAGCAGCAGGTTGTAATGAGATTCTGTAGTTATTTGACTGCGCTCAACGTGCAGAGTGGACTGATGAGGTAATAATAAAACTGATCATAAATCAAATGTTGTTGCTGGCAGAATTTTAAAGGCCCACAGTGGACAGGAGACACATTCATGAGAAGGACCAGAGAGGTTGATGGCTCCACTAGATTAGGTTTAGTCTTGACTCAGACTGATTGTTTGAACTCTGATTCTGAATTGACTCTGAATTGTATAATTCTGCTGCATCACTGGCAGTTCAATGTTCGGAGCTGAAATAATCAGAATAAAATGTGAAATACAAATTTAACATGTCTCTTTCTTTTCTCTATATTGTGTGGACAAAAGCAGCTGAGGAGCGACAGTAAAGCTGCACAGCAACCACTGATCTCATCATCTCATTTTTCCCTTTAAGGTGAACAGGCAGTAGGATCATGTCCTCCCATTTTCACTGCTCTATGCTGTGAACACGGGAGGCACCGTATTTCACACTGCATTTCAATGTGCTATTTTCCATACTCCAATATAAGAGTGTTATCACGCATCGCACAATGGTGAGATATGGTTCAGGCTTTATTGCATTTCCATTGAGCTGAGCCTTTTTTTTCTCCTTCCCTCAGCGGAGTCCCAGTGATATCACTGGCAGTTTACGGTCATCCTTCAGCGGGACTTACTACACTCATCAATTCTGCCCGTCGCTTCACTGAACCCTCAGTGTTTGATTGGTTCTCACTGAGGGCTGTTTTCAGTAGAAACGAAGGCTGATTGGCTAAGCCGTGTTCTTCATTAGCAAGGACGCGGACAGCTGACTGACCCCTGGAAGGTTCTAGAGCACGTTGTGATAAATGAGCCTTTTTTCTTTCCATCACATTACCATTTACATATACATAAACGCACACAGCAACATACGTTATAAGCCTGCCCACGCAGATACAAACCGCCATGTAAGCTAACACTACATGAATCCAAATAAGCTGAAGATCAGCTGCCTGAAGGACTGCAGCTAAAATCTACCCCTTACCTTCAGACGAAAATGTTTCTTTAGGTTAAAATAAGGACAATCATTCAAAATGCCTTGTTTAAGCTTTTGCATTGAAAGCAGGACTCTGTTCCTTGGCTTACACTACGGAGGCAGAACCTCAGGGGTTGTTAACTGTATATCTGTGATGTTTCTGTGTAATTGTACTTAAATTTCAAAGTTTACGTTTTCATGATAATAAAGAAGTGATGGAAGTGAAAAGTAGGAGTAGTAATCCTTCTTAATGAGGACTTGACTACCTTACACTGCTAAACAGCCTCGAGAACTTTTCACCCCAGCCCCTAGATCATCTCCATCTTATGGCCATAAGATCAGAACAACTGCAGTATCACCGTGAGGCTCTGCTTCAAACTGAAGGATTTTCAGAAGAAGACAGAGGGAGAAGCCGACAGATGGGGGAGGATTTTACAGGAGTTAAGAGGAGAATTTATGTCTCTGCAGGAAAAACCGCGGTGTCGAGAGGATGGTTCAGAGAAAGCAGCAGGTACAGGAGGTTCACTAGGTGAAAAGCTATCGGTCGTGTCTTTCAGTGTCACTGCAGGTGAGTAAAGGCTTGTGGTTTGGAACAGAGCAAAACAATTACACAATACTTCAGGTATTCGACAGAATTCACTCAGAAGAGCCACAGAAATCCAGACTGGAGTTTGGTGTTTGTGTTTGTGTTGGTGTGTGTTCGCATCTCTCTTCTGTTCATTTCATTTTGTTAGGATACATCCAGTCTTTTAGAACAACAGAATTTGTCTTTTAAGAAGACGAGACCTGTTTATAAAAGCTCTTCATTTTTTGTGCTTCTTTTATATGCTTCCAATCACATCATACATTTACAACTAAAATATTTTCTCAGAATCTTAGTTCACACAGAAAATAAAGTGATTAGGCCACAGCCTTGTCAAGGACACACAATTATTCAGTGTTGTGAATTGGAGGTTGATGAATAAATGAAGAAATACTGCATATGCTCAGAAAATGTTAGCTTCTGGCAAGTAATAATTCTGCTTTAGGTGAGAACTTGTAAGTAACCGTCAGTGTCGTTTGTATCTTTACAATATTTCCACATCAAAACGCAGGGAGAGTGGACGGGCAATCAGAGTAACGGTAAAAGATGAATAAAAAAGTGGAATTTTCAACTTTCCTCTGCTTTCAGACACACACTGACACGCCAAAGCCATGCTCATACGCACACACATACAACTAGTCGCTTTTGTCCACAGACCAAGGCCATACGTTCTGCCCTGCTGCTGAATTCCTAAGCCACTTCAAATTCAAACCTCTCCAAACATGCTGCTTTTATTTGTCTTATCTCCTGCTGCACACTGCATCAAGGTAGTCTCTCCACCGCCTCTAAATCCCCCACTATCACACTGTTATTGCTCCAGCCGGGGGTTCTTCTTTAACAAGAAAAAAAAATCAAATTCTCTCGTTTCCACCTCCAACCACCACCACCTCTTGCAGCACCTCCTCCCTCATCACTGCTCTCCGTCTGCCTGCTCTAACACACGGTGAGCTGGGGATCGGTGGCGTGAGATTATTACGAAGCAGCCGCCGATAGCCAAAACAGCTGGAAGGAAAAGCTCAATGGGAGAGGAAAGACAAGCCGCAAATTAACCCTGTGAACCCGACAGCACCAGCAGCATCGAAGCTGCAGGAGACTGTCGAAGAACAGACCGAGGAACACAGATAAACACACACTCTTAAAGCAGACAGGAGAACACAGACGCCCTGGAATCACCTCGTCCAACACTTCCAGCCTCAGATTTAAGGTAACGTCGTTTCACGCAGGGATAAAGATGGAGGAGATGAGCAGTAAAGCCTTCCAAGAGCAAATCATTCCCCATGTTTTTACATGACATTATCAGCTTGTTACATTTGAGAAAGAGCTGCTTACATGCAGCACAGCTGAAAAGGGTAAACTGTTTCAGGGTTTATATAACAGGGGTCGCAAACTCCCGGTTCTGGGGCCCATCCCAGTGCGCAACCCCCCCCCATTCAGCCCACAGATTCATCTGTATAATACAGTAATTACATTTTTCACTATTTGCAATTTTTACTTTCAACTGCTTTGTCATTAGATATAGAAAGAAAGAATATATTTGTACTCATTTTGTCAACTGTATTAGACAGGATTTATATCACAAAAACTACTTTTACTAAAATATCTAACCACAAAAATTCTCTATCTACTCATAGAAGGTTTTATATGTTAACAGTACAATCTAGGCCTCGACTTCTTTGGCCCTGTGAGGACGTAACCACGCTGCATTACTACTTCAGTCTCAACACAACACAAGTCACAGCCACATTGATCCAAGGGAGACTGACTTTAAAAGCCATTTTCTTTTCATTGTCTGTGTGTCAACAGACTCTTCGGGCCCTAAGGTTGACTCCTGTTACAAAGACAGCGAGGCTAGCCGCTCACAGACAGTCACGGAAAAAGATAGAAATGAGAAGAGAGGCAGGGAGTCTATCCCTCTCCCTCTTCCCAGATAAATATTTGATCAGCGGAACTCTGATGGCTATTGATCAGAGCATTTATCCGCTCTTCTTCGATCCCTACAGTCTGTGATCACAGTTTAGATAAACACACGTGTGCCTGTGTATCCTCTGAATGTCAAATGAGAACAGAAGGTTAAAAGCTTAAAGCATTTATCTTCACTTAAGTGTTTTCTAATGACATGACAGTAAGAGTGTTGGAAAAGCACAGATAAAGTCAAAGCTATATTTCTGTGTGTGTGTGTGTGTGTGTGCCCTGTGATATAGCCAGTCATCAGGTTACAGGTTACTCTTCACCTTTCATCTCTTCGAACAACTCCTATTAAGAGCTACGACTAGACGACCATGACGTCCTTGGGACTCACGTTCACTGACCCTGCAGTAGTGCTTACACAAGCAACTTTGGCTTCAAAAAAGATGGGAAACACCATCACAGAGCATGTGTGTGTGTGTGTGTGTGTGTGTGTGTGTCTGCATGGTGCAAGTTAGAATAGAGGAGGAACTCATGATAACTTCACTGCCTTAACTGAATCCCTGTCACCTCCACTGTAGTACCAAAACTATTTTAAAATTTAGTGGAAAAAAACAAATGAAAACATGTAATAACACTAAAGAAAGTAATACTAGAAAAAAAGTGGATACTCATTAACTGTGATTAAAAAATTGAAAGATAATGAAAACAAATCAGGTCAACAACAATGCAGAAAAGGCAAAAAATCAAGAATAACATGTTTGATAAATTCCTCTCTAAGTTGTAAAACAAAATAATTCTGGAAGAATTTAAAAGGGTTGACATTTGTGAAAAGATACATTTACTTTAGCTTTAGTTTTTAATTGTGATTTATTGGCAAAGACAACAGAAAGTCATAAATGAGATAGAGAACCAAGTTAAGGGCTGTGGTTCTCGGTTTGGTAAGAAAGAGAGATATTTTCTATTCTAATCAAGATTACAATCACAAATACACAAAAAACCTGTGTGTTGTGTAGCTGATCTTTTCAGATCAGATACACAATCTGCAGTCAGTTTTGATTTATCTGAAGAATCCCCTCAACTCTGGTCCTCTGGCCTGATTATCGTCACAGCTGCACCTGAGACTCCACGCCTTTTTCAGTCAGAGCGCAAATCCACTGAGAAATCACATCATTTCTGATTTCCTTTAATTGCACAGATTGGCTCTGACAGAGGGTAACGCATACAGGCATTAACTGTGGGATTACACGTAATTCAATTCCAGTGATGCTGTTAGGATCTGTTGTCATTAAAGACAATTCCATCTGCACTTCTCCAGGCCATATTTACTCCTTCTGCAGAGCCTAACTAAAGCCTTGGGGTAATCAGCATCCACACAGTGAGGAACAACCGCATCAACAGTTTGATTCTATTTGATCCTAACCTTGTTAGAAAAGTTTATCTTTCATCCTTTTTTAATTGATGTGCATTCATGAGTCGAGGAGAACATTTAGGAGAACAGGATGAATTAACAATGACCAGAGAAAATAAACAACATTCTAGTCAGCAGTCCGCTGAGTTCATTCATCTCTTCAATGGTTTGTTCTCACCAGTAAAAGTAGAATTCTGTTAAAAGTTAATTAGACCAATTAGCTGTTAGCTTGCTATCATCTCCTCATATCCACTGACATTCAAGTCAGCCATCACGGTAGATTGGTAGTGAAACGCTGAGTCTTCATCACTCTCTCATCTTGCTATTCCTGGTCAGGATTTGACTATAGCAGCGGCAAAAATTCCCTCACAAGTAGGAATACTTTCTCTTTGAAGTCCTCACTCTTCTTTGATCTCCCAGTTCTCAATGTGTTCTGGAGATGAATGAGAAGATCCAGGTGCTGGTGATCAAATGTCTGTTTCTGGCTTCATGATTCCAGGCAGGAGACCACAGTCTGGCCTCAGCAGCTGTGTATACACAGTACATGGATCGATAACAGCAGAGAGTGTGTATTGATTATGTGTGTAAGTGATACTAGAATGGGGGCTGTTACGGAAGGGAAGGAGGAGAAGGATCAGGAGGGAGGGAGGGAGGACGGTGGCCTGGATTAAGGTAACAGAGAGATACAGCCTTGGGGTGACCCTGGTGAGCTTCATGTCACGTCTGTGTCCACGCTCTTATTCGGCTGCTTTTTCTCTGATATATGTGCAGTATGTAACAATTACACCGTGCAGATGGGAGGTTATCTAACACGTCCTAAACATGTGCCCTACATACAACAAGAACATTGACATTGAATCTTGACATTGACCAGGACGCATAGTTTTCAGACCAGATGTTTTTCAGATGTATCAAAGAACATGAAGGGCAGGAGCATGGGGCAGGAGCGGGTCAAAGGGTTTGCTGTAACTCACTGAGACCCTTGATGGTCACCATGTTAGGTACAACTGCTCAACGAACTCTTAATCTTTCTAATGTTTTCATCCAAGTGATCAAAGTTTTTCAATAAAGTACGTCTCCATATTTTTTCTTGAATTTTTAGATCCCGATACTTTTCTTCTTATGTACAGTAGGTGTCTCTTAATTGTCTTGATTTAATTAATTCACTGCTCCAAAATTCTAACCGTTGGCATTTTCTAATTTCAAATGATTGACCTCTACCAGTAACCTCCTGCTTTCTGCCAAAACAGAAACCTGACCCACTTGACTTGCCTGTTGCCCTTTCTTTATATTGATCACTTTCTGCTGTGGACGGAGTCACATGGAAAACATCTGTTCTAATGTGAATCTTAGGGCTCCCATAGGAATGAGATGGTTCAGTTACACCAGCAGCTCCACCAAGCACAATATATCTGGGGATCAAAATATCAACATATCAAATATCCCCATGTTGATCCCAGTAATGAAATCTCTATAGCCATAGAGTGTTGAGATATTTTTATCAGCTGGAAATAGCTGCACGGTGAGCAGAACATGTTTACACGGATGAATTAATGTGGAGCAAAGACAAGTAAACGTTCTGTAAAACACAGACTAGCTGTTATGGTTAACAGGGTAATTACTGTCCTAATTCCTCCAGTTAAGGGAGGTAAACATATTCATTAAATGTGCTTCAATGTCAATCCAGTCTAGGACACAATTTTTCCAACGTCCTTCCACATCATTGATTTTAACAGCGTCACACTACCATTACTTCAACAGCATGAAATATGTTCTATTTGCTGACAGTACTCACAACAGTAAGTGACATCAATGAGCAACAGCTTAGCCCAGAGAATGTTAAGAAATCTGAACATGTATTAAATGTATGTGTTTAAAAAGATACGCACAGGAAAAAGCTGGACTCTGGAATCACAATCGTATTCTGTCACGTCAAATTTTCACACCAGATTCAAGGTTGTGCAGAAGAACAGGTTCACTGCGCAACACAAACACACAGGTTAAATATCCAACAAACACACATATTTATTAAAAATGCTAAGCAAGTACTAAAACTCCGACACAGAGAAACAACAGGTTTTCAGCAAGTTGATCCACATGTCAAATTATGTCCCTCTTCCTGAGACACTTTAAATGTGTCGTGATGGCGTGTTGTTCTTGAAAAGTAGGTTCTCAATTTATTTTATATATTTAAAAAAATAATTTCACAACAACAACAAGGAACCATTATCTGTCATATGTAGTGGAAGACAGTGAAAAATGGAGTCGAGTCACTCGGTCGCCCTGACATCAATCTTTTTGGTACATACATCACCACACTTCAGAGACCACCAGAATTCACTACAAAAAGCAGACAGCTGCTGTGTCAACACATGGCACACATGGTTCTTTTTTCTTTGAAGGCGTACAACAACCATGTCATGTGACAAAAAGGCAGGTCAAAGTTACCAGTTACTTACCTTTGATCTCTGCTATATAGCTTTTATGTGGCACTGTTATAGGAAAAGGCTAAACCTCGTCTTTTCGAACATCTGGGACAACAAGGACATAAAAATACATATACTGTAATAGAGCGCAGTAAAATTCTGAGAGCTCCAGTGGAGCACCAACAACAAACAGGAAGAGATGGTTGAATTTCTGTCAGGACACTGACTAAGCTATGGTCTAATGGGACTAAAGGGAGCTTTTCCTACAGAACACCGTGCAGTTCCCCTGCTTTGATGCTACTATCCTTTGTCTATACTTAGTTCACTGCACTGTCCTAGATACAGCCTGTGGTCATTTGTGATTATACCTTAACAACAAATAATGTCCCAAAAAAGAATTAAATTATGCCAGAAAAAATCTTGTGATCCATGGATAGAAGTGTTTTCACACAGGACTTTCATGGAATGAAGTACTAAATGAAGATAGGTTTCTGTTCACAGACGGTTTCTCTTCTCATCCACCACATGTCCCGCCAAACTACACAAACACTTTCACCACTTGTAAGAGCTCCAGTGAGGTTTTGTCTTGGCTTGGTTGGGCTGGCACGTTTGACTGGTTTAAGGTGTAAAAGTATCGCTCTAATGCGCTCTGGTGCCATGGCTCCACCCACAATTAACATTACTGCCAACGTGGGATTTTTTGTCTCACTTTAAAGTTTGTGAGTGTGGGCTTCTTTTCCTATTGTCACAGTAACAGAACGCCAGTCAGGGCTGATCATGCTGAAAACTGTAGATGAAAGTGCACAAACGGTGGGAGAATAGATCAGAGCTGAGCAGTCAATAGATTTATAAGATAAATAGGTAAAAATCTTTTCTATTAATAAAAATCTAAAATATTGAGTGTAGATCAGTGATCCCCAACCCCCGGGTCGTGGATGGGCACCTGTCCATGGGTCAATTGGTACCAGGGCTGCACAGAAAGAATGCATAACTTACATTATTTCCATTTTATTTTTATCTGATTCTGAATGATGTCTATGACTCACACTGGACACGTCACGATGCTTGACTCGGTCACAAAAAAACATACGTCTTAAAAGAGTCAGTGAGGAGACAGAAGAAGAGTCTACGTCTTCAAAGAAAAAGAAAGCTCCATTTAACAGACAATTCCAGGAGTCCTACTTGAAATATAGATTTTTTGGGCCAGGTTGTTCCCATGCACCGAGCCTGCGCTGCTTAACACGCTGCGTGCGGCTCTCTAATGAGGCAATGAAGCCTTCAAAACTGCTCTGCCACTTGGAGACCAAGCGTTCTGCATTAAAAAAAGTTGCATATGCAGTGACTTAACGTTTATTATTATATTTAAAAAATACCAGTTTTTATGCCGGTTGTATCATTTTATTTAACTGTATTTATCTGCCGCACCTTAAAGGGCGGTCGGTGAAGGTTGGGGACCTCTGGTGTAGATAATACATGAATAAAGATCAACTGCTCTAATGTTGGCAAATCTCTAACAGCTTTTCATCTCCTAGTATTTAGACCTAATCTAATTTTAGAGCATTGTTAACACATTGAGTCTTTGAAAATGTAAACAAATATGCTCTGGTTAAAAAAATGTCACCTCAATTCCTCCTAGCACCATCGTTCAGTGTCACGGTGATAATTGTGTTCTCACAGCCCTGTAGGCAAACCCTGTCCAATTATAGGTCAATGAACACCATGTGATAGAATTCTCTATTTCTCTCAACAAAAACAGCAAATGCGGAGAATCCAGCAGCCTTTCCAGCAGCTCTGCTTCTTTAATTCTGCTCCAACGTGACAGATTTACACCATGGGTTTACTGATGGATTCTGTGCTGAGGTTATGAGTCTGTGGTCTGTGTCCAAGTACAGGGGTATTGGCTGGCTCAACCTGAAGCACCTCCAGTTCCACGTTCAAGGCCAGAGATAAAAAGGCAGCACATTTCTCGACCCTCTATCTTCTTTATCTCCACAAAATTTCTTGAGGATAAAATTGAATTTCAATGATATTTCCAGGATCAAGGCGAGAGGGCGAAGACTGGGAAAAACATAATGTATGAAAACTGCACTTTACTGCACACACACACACATCCACACACAATACGCCTACATCCTCTGCAGACACAAGATAAGAGGTCCTACATTTTTCGGTGTTGACTTTTCACAATCATAACTGCTGATGCTGTTTTTTAATGTTTAATGTTTGCTCAGAACAGCGTGGCCAAAATATCATAAAATAAAATAGTTCTATGCTTTCCTGTCACATACTCATGCAGCCTGACCCTGAGGCTACTATAGCAGGTGTTGCACACTGATTTTACTTTATATTTTATGAGTGTCCCATGAAGGAAAAGTGAATAAGTAATAATATAGAATATATCTGCGGGGGAGAACACATCCAGAGAGCTGATCTTGGAGAAAATACTGTGACTTGAAGTCAGGAGAAAAAGTATGGTTGAAATTTAAAGCCATTTAGTTATAGTATATATAAGTAAGTAAGTAATATATATTATAAGTATAACTTATAATTATCTTTTAAAATATATATAATATAAATGAATGCATAGTAAATTAAAAGCATTTTCTCTTTCATTGCCATCAACAGAAAATTTAGACCCAAGGTGGTGCTCATGGAACACACACAATGAAGTTGCTGCAAAACACAAATAAAATATTAAAGTTAAGTAACAAAGGTGACGTCAATAACTGTACTCAAACTGAGTTAAGCTGACTACGGTATTTAAAAGCCTTTTTGTCTGGAAGAATAACATTTTCTGACTTTGAAACAGCAGCGGTTTCAAACCTTTAACTTGGATAGTGGAGCATATTTAAATAGTCACAATGCAGTAGGAAAATAGAGACGAAGAAGAGTTTGTCTGTGAACAGGCTACAATTGTTTCGTCCTTTTTCAGCAGAAACGACAGATCTTATCCAAAATGAAAACATGATCAGTCTTTGACGTTATCAGGAAATAGAAGGGCCACCGGCTGAGAAGAGAACAACCTCGTTCTTACAGTGATTATGGATGCAGTGACCACGGCAGAGAGGAAATCCCATCACCACAGGAGTCAACTGAAGCAC